ATCCATCTTTATGGAGAATTCTTGGGTGCTGGCAGTAACATAAAGAAATTCAATTTACATTTAAAGAAATGTTGTAAAATACTTGCTTAAAATGGTAATGGGTGCATTTCTGTGGACAGTGTGTGCACAGTCTTTGTCAAATGCTATCAGAGCAGATCAGCAGGTTTAAAACAAGCAAGAGGAAGTTGGGTTTTTTTTTAAATGAAATACGTAGTTAACTTATGGAACTTGTCATCACATGAAGTTGGACAGGCAGGTAACATAATCTAATTCAAAAAGGGATTAAACCAGTGGAGGTATGTCATTTGGCCTGCAGCACTTCCAATGGGTCCAGAAATTTCCTAAGGGAATGGTGGCAGCATTAATTGCTGCTCTCTTGCTACCAAATTTCCAGCCCCATGGGCAGCCTTGTAGCCCAGATAATGTAGCCCTGCATGCTAGATCACCAGTCTGTAGTGAAGCCAGTATGTGAGGTCACTTTGCAGCTGAATCCAGCACACAGAATCAAGTGGACTGTTGACCTTCAGATATACTCTGAGAACTAAAAAGGCTCAAAGAGCCAATCCTACTAAAATTAAACACTGACAAATATATAGCAAATTCAGTAATAAAATATAGAAAAGATATAATTAAGTAAATAGTACAGATCAGTCATATCAAGCAAATTATTAAAATTTATCAAATGTGCATTGATCTAAAGAAATACCAACCCTGTTGACATTTGAGAGAATTTAAAATTAATTTATCTAAGCCCTAAAGCCTTAAAAAACCTCTAACAAGTGGTCAGCTGGTTAGGGAAAATGACTTCTCATCTAGGTTTCAAATTGAACTTTAAAAGAGTGCTCATTTTAAGCATTCTTTTCAGACACACCCAGAGTTCAAGGCTGCAGAGCAAAGTTTGAGAGAAATTCAGATTTTTATACTCCATTTTATACTCTATTGTTTGGCTCAGTATCAAAAAACGTACTGAATAAGTTAAAAATATATATATATAAGATTTTCTAATATCTGGGCTATAACCTTGTCTAGAATTAAACCGCTAAATGTACTCTGGGCACCATTTACTAACCTTTTTTTATTCCATCTTTCTTGAAATTTCTAAAAATGTTCGCAGATTGTGATGTCTTTTGGCCTGATCATTTCCTTTGCCTCTTCTTCTCTTATCCAAACGTTGAGGGCCTATTATAGTCTATAGGGCATGCAGCCAGGTTGATGCCAGGGAGGATATGACAGGGACTGGATCACTCTAGAAATGTACCATTTATATACTTTCCCTCTAAACCAGCGGTGCTCAACCTTTTTGGCCAGTAGGCCAGATGGGCAGTGCCCAATCCCTCTGTGGGCCCAATCTGGCCAGTAAACCCAATATGGCACCTGGGACAGATGCAGTGAGGCCCCATATGGCCTCACAGAGGAGTCAGGGGGCAGCACAGCCCAAATCCAGGTGTTTGTGGGGGAAGGACACTTGGCTTAGCTCTAACCCAGACCTACAGGGGGGCAAGGGAGCATGACCCAGCCCGATACGGGGAAGGGATATGGTTTGGCACTGCAGGAGGGAGGGGGCATGGCTTGGCCCAACACGGCTATGCAGAGGGAAGGGGATCTGGCCCTGCGGAGGGGGATAGGGTCATGGCCAGACTCTGACAGTCCCTGCAGGGCTTGGATTTTTGGTGGTGGGGAGGGTTGGCAAGGCTGCCACTGCTCCCCCAACATCAAATTTCCTGACTGTGGGGAGCCCTATGTGCTGTATTCCAGGGCTGTGCAGGCCACAGATTGAGCGCCCCCACTCTAAATCCTCTATGATTTGCCTCTGTTAGGCTAGGGACAGACATTCAAAAAGCCTGAGCCTGAATTGATACAATCTTTGCAGGTTAGTCTAACCTGGATAGGCTAAAACAGTTTATAACTGCACAGACATTCCAGACATGCAGGCACAAGCCTGCAGTGGCTCAAGCTAGAAGCTGGGGGGGGGGGGGGGGGGGGGCTAGAGCAGCCCTCCCTTCCCAGACATGGAAGCTGAGCTGAGGGGGGCCTCGCCAGGCCCCAGCAGGATGCTATAATTAGCCCAGCAGGGAAGTGATAACAGTGTTTATCACCCTTAGCTCAGTGTTAATCACACCATTAAGAAAACAAGGGGAAGACGTTAACAGCTACCTGTTGATTCTGAGCTACCCTAGCCAGCATGTGGTCTGCTAGCTAGTGCACAGACACCTCTCCACAAAGCAGAGGGGAGGGGGTTATTTCTGCTTAGCAGGGAGTGGTGAGGGGAGTGGGGAGGGAGGAACAACCCTCAGTCTCTGCTGAAGCTGCAGCCAGGGAGCAGAGAGGAGGGGCCAAGCCTGCTGTGGAGCAGAGAACCCTGCCCAGCCCAGAGAGCAAGCAGGCATGCTGGGAGAATCTGGTTTATCTTAAACCAGCAAGGGGTCTGAGCATAAACTGGTTTGACCCAAATCAGTTAAGTCTGATGCTACATTCAACCAGGTTTATCTCAAACTGGTTTCAACCATTTTCAAACTGGTTTATGTGCGCTGAACATCTGTTCCGTTACAGGTTTAAACCAACCAGTTTATGTATAATGCCTGTCCCTAGCCTTAGAGACAAGGTACAGGTCTAGACCATTTGTCTGACCTAAGATGGTACTACTTAGGTTCTTGCTCCCACTTTGAACCTTGGTGGTATGTATGTAAGTAGCTACGCTAAAAACAGTCCAGGGCTTTTAAAGCTTTGAAAACTCTATTACAATTTAAAGCAAAGAAAATACTTTCTTCACATTCAAGTATTCTCTGTTAGCCTCTTAAAATGTGTGCAGACACACACACATATACATGTGCGCACACATGCTCTTAGCAATATTGTATATACAATGTTATCATATATTATAGCATATATAAAGAGAGTGTGTGTGTGTGTGTGTGTGTGTATAAAAAGTATGTGTCTATAGGACTCATGTAAATGTTTTACTTTGGAAAGCTATTGTGAATGTGATCTGAAAAGATTGAAAAGTACTATAGCAGAGCACACTGGGCTCTTAAATGTCATCACTGCTCTCAGGAGTCTATATATTTAAAAAAAAAATCTCACCATCAATGGCAATCAGGTTGCATAGCAGGAAAAAAAGAAACTTTGAAATTTCATTTTAAGTCTGCTTATACAGTCCTGTGCCCCTCAATAATTCCTCCCACTTTAAATGTTAGTGCCTTTAAAATTCTTGCTACCAAGTCCTACAGGTTTCTGTACTGCTGGAAATGGAAAAAAAAACTTCAGATTTAATTGGGACTGCTGCCCCACATCTCCTTTACAGGTTATGTTATGGGCTGATATTTCTGTAGATGGGATATACAGAACTCTATGGGCAAATTAGGCCTCAAAGAATTCTCTTTCCTCCAGTTTTCTCCAACAATTTAAGGCCCTTTTGCATATAAAATTTGCACATAGCAGCATAGTGACATTCTGATGTTATTTTTGACTACTCTGTCTTTCAGTTCTGTCAATCTAAAATGACCTTCTTATAAAATAGGCTGTTGCTTGTGAAAGCTCATGCCTTTCTGAACCAGTACGTTTCTAAAGTGCCCTACCTTCTGCCTGACATCAGATTATTATGGCTAACCACCAATCTACTCCATCCTGATGGTGAATTTCATGTGTTTGTATAATTAATTATTAAAACTAGTGGTATTTTTCATGCACAGTGTTTGCTTCCCTATGAACTTCCATTCACTGATATTTTGTATAGTTCTCAAAATACTTAAAAAAAAAAAAAAAATACTTCCCCATCAACTTGCTTTCTGTTCCAATTATGAGACAACATGCATATTAATCATGAATGAAAATATTACCCTACTGGATGTTCATAACAAACAGAAGAGCACTTACATGCAGTTCAGTACAATTAATCATTTATAAAGAGTGAGCCAAATGAATCTCTTCTAATGCTGTAAGATGAGCACACAGATGATGTGAGAAGCTTTTCAAGTGAAGATGTTTAAGGGTCTTTGAACTTTTCACCCTTCCTTAATTTTCTCAAGTTTCTAAAAAAATACTTGCCACAGGCAGAAAAGAGAATCTAAGAAATGACATACTGGGTCACACCACATATCTATCTGTCCAATATCCTGTAGCTTACAGTGGCAGAGAAAGGACACAAAGTGTGAGAATATTTATATATATCAGACATCTGCTTCCTTGTATGGGACAGGAATATTCCAGACCCAGCCATAGATATTCTTTGACTGTTACATAGTTTCTAGACAGAAACACCTAGAAAAATCTTACAGGCACTCTGGCTAGGGACAGACATTATACATAAACCAATTTAAGTGATCAGGAACTGGTTTAAACCTGTAACAGAACAAATGTTCAGTGAATATAAACCTGTTTGAAAAATCGCTGAAACCGGTTTGAGATAAACCTCGTTGAATGTAGTATCAGACTTAACTGACTTGGGTCAAACCGTTTTATGCAATGTCTATCCCAGACCCCTTGCTGGTTTAAGATAAACCAGACACCCCCGGTATCCTGGCATGCTCGCTGGGCTGGGCAGGGCTCTCTTCTCCACAGCAGGGCTGGCCCCTCCCCTCTGCTCCCTGGCTGCAGCTCCAGAGGCTGCGGGCTGCTCCCCCATGTCCCCTTCACCACTTCATGCTAAGCAGGAATTACCCCCTCCCCTCTGCCTTGCTGAGAAGGTATTAGCTAGCAGACCACATGCTGGCTAGGGTTGTGCAGAATCAACAGGTAACTGGTAATGTCTGCCCCTTGTTTTCTTAATGGTGTAATAAACCCTGAGCTAAGGGTGATGAACACTGTTATCACTTCCCTGTTGGGCTAATCAAAGGATCGCAGGGATCTGGCCACACATCCCCTCAGCTCAGCCCTGTGGAATGAATGGGAGGGATGCTCTAGTGCCCTCCAGCTTCTAGCCTGAGCCACTGCAGGCATGTGCCTGCATTTCTGGGATGTCTGTGCAGTTACAAGCCAGTTCAGCCTAACCGGGTTAGACTAACCTGTAAAGAATGAATCAATTCAGGCTCAGGTTTTTTGAATGTCTGTCCTTAGCCTTTTTCATGTTAGAAGCTCTCCTTAGTAATTTCAAGTCTGAGGGAAGGACTCAGTGAAGATCTGGAAGGAGAAATATAATAAAATAATTGTGTTACTGCTGCATCTTTCAATATAAAGGGTGCCAATGTATCTGAATCTCAGCTGTCCCTGGCACAGGGAAATGGCAGCCAAACAGACAACAGACAAAACATGCCCTGTTGTGAAGAGAATATAGGAGAACTAAGTTCCAGAAGAAATGGAAGTGGGCTGCCCCTTCAGACAGGATTAGGAATGTTGGTGCTAATTATTATAAGCTTTGCAGGGGTATTAAAATTTAGTAGGTTTATTCTGAATAGAATGGGCCTGACCCTGCAACTCTTTACTTGCACATGTTGTCCTACTGAAATCAAAAGTGCTGTTCATGTGAACATAGGCAGAGAAGGTTCTTTGGGTAAATCTGATCTCTTTTATTAGACCAGCTCAAATAGTTGGAAAAATTCTTCTTTGCAACCTTTCGAGTATAAATACCCTTCATTAGGCTGAGCAAGCATCTGCAGTTGGTGTGTGCTCTTCCTGGATGGAATGAATAGTAAGGAAGCCAGTAAAGAATAGTAAAGAAGCTTGTATGCATGCAAGAAAGGAGGACTAGCATGTTTTCCTTCCAATACAGTTCTATCAGTGTTTACTGCTGAACTGATTTCTTTAGTAATATTATTACTTGGAAAAGAACTTTCACTTCCTACCATTAAGTATATGAAATAATATCATTCTGTTTTCCAAATCCTCCTGGAATGAGGAGGAATATTCTTGTGTGTAGTTGCATTATAAAATTGCTGAATAAATCCATTTTGCTGTAGTGGGAAGGGACACATTTTCTTCTCTACTGTAAGTAGGTCAATGAAAACATGTCGTGGTGAGGATTAAGCTGTTTTTCTCTGTCCTC